TTAGTCCCAATAAGACACAAAGTGCGTGCTTTTCCAGCTACGCTCTCACCCGTTGGTTGACAGAAGCCTTGCAACCCAAGGTGTAAATCTCGTAACATCTCACAATGCTATGAAATTGCCATACGTCCTTTACTGTTTAATTGAGTTTTAATTTTTAGCGGGAATTTTAGCGATCACTCTTCAACGAAAAGTCAGACACAGATGGATGGAACGATTAATTTTAATCATTTTCCTTGTTTTGGAATACGATTTAGAGTTGTTCAATGACACCGACGATGCACAGTGTAAGTGTTAGTTCAAAGTGATGTCTAGAAGTCGTCGAACATCGAGAAATCTTTGGCGTGACTCTTCCTGTCCACGGGTTTGAGCTCGTCTTCGTCATCGATGTCTGAGGCGATTTTCAACTCCATGGCGCTTGACTGTAAGAGATATAATTGTACTACTAAAGTAGGTAAGTTCACTAATTTGAAAGTTCATAGAGGTGCTACTTCAAGAGAGAAGAATGGTTCAAGTCCGTCGAGGAAACCCCGACGCGACATTTGCATTGGACTGGTCAGCATTGGAGGGCTTAGTTAAAAATGGTAAGCCAAAAAGGGGTTGCTTGAGGAGATCAGGAGTTTGCACTGTATATTTATTGTTGTAGTGGTTCATCCATCTGATACATCCTTCCAGGGTAGGTTAAACGGTGCCAGACTTGTCCGAGGGACAAAAATACAAAGTAGTGCTTCGGCTGGCCAAGTAAGTAAGTTATTCCATAGGACCTGAATGCATCAGAAGCCTTTATGATTCCGCCATAATGGTATAAGTGGCGGCGCCGCATCCAAAGAAGGGCTGGGCTTTACTGACCAATCTTCTAGTCTTCCGAACCCTCTATGCCACGCTATCCCTCGGTATCCTTTCTCTGTGGGGCAGGAGTGGGTAGTGGAAGTGGCACTTAAAGCAACAGTTCAGGGAGGGTCCGAAAATTTCAATGCCACTACTACTGAGGGATACACGAGCCCTAGTGAAGAACATATGCAGTGGAAATAATAAACGAACTTACCTCAGAAACTCAAAAACAGGGTGGAAAGTCCCTCAAACATGGGTGTTCTTGGGGATTTCCCCAATCCCGCCCCCTTGCCGGCCGTCATTGGACGCGTCGGCAATCGTGCTCGTTTTGGGACCACAGGGAAAATTGATTGAAAAATGGAGCGCGTTTACAGCGGGCACGTTCAGACAACTCGTCCAACGTGCGTCTTTATCCATTGCTGAGCGCGGCAGAGGGAGAGTACCTGTCTAAGACCCTCCCCGACGTTTTTTTCCAGTTTTTCATACATTAATCGTCTGGTTTTCATCTACAACTTCATTATTGGTGGTTTTTTCCCGCGAAACCGTTCCTGAACTGTTGCTTTAACACGAGCCGGGATCAAATCCGGGTCGTGAGTCGCCCGGGCCAACCAAGCCTTCCATCCCTCCGGGGTCGGTTAATTGGTACCAGACTTGTCTGGGAGGATAAAAACACTGACTTGTACATCGGCTGGCCCCCGCAAGTCATTGTATAGGCCACATCGCATTCAAACGCCACTACGAATGTACAAATGGAAGTAGAATGCGTGCCGCATCCCAAACGGCAAAAGCTTTATCCTTTACCCTTTGTCTGTGTAAGATCAATTTCTACTGTGCTGACTTTCACCTGTGACGTCAACACGTCGTGAAGTGGATGCGCATCACATATGCACAATTGGTGTATTTTATAGTAGGGGGGGGGCTTATTGCAATCAAGCTATGCCTAAGCAGTAATTTTGATCTTATGGTTAGTTCTATTAGTGAATGGGTCCTCTCCATCGCTGCTTCCTTCCCCACGCCTCCCCTCCTCGCTGCAACACATGAGGAATGGCAAAATTGTGGCTTGGACAATCGCGCACCTTCAAGACCACCACACTTGCTGCAGTCTACGATCGCCTTTGTTATTGGGAAAAGTAATTTTTAAGTTGAATAGAAATCTATTTCCCCTCGGTAACTCACCGCTACACGGATATTCTTTGCTTTTTCCGAGACATCCAACGTTTTCACTGTCGGATCAGCTGGTTTTGCTGCTGCAATACTAGACATGAAGGAGTGCTCAAGTAATTTTTATGGCTGCAAACAGACTGAGCCGGCTGCGTTCAAACTTGGCGAACGGCACGTGGCAACTAGTACATCCAGTGCAGTGGTATGTATGTACGTCAGGCCTCCCGGTCGGTAACAGTTACACCAACGTCCTCAGAAACTCTTATCACCTTTGAAAAGTGTCGTCACAGTAGCGATGCAGCCAACCTCAGCTGCTAGCTGCCGCCGAGTATGAACGTAGCCTAATTGCAATCCGAAGCTCTTTGCTGGATTGCGCTGAGAGATGTTGTTTCATATGCATCAACGTCTCCAATGATTACCGTAACATAGTATGAATTACTTGCATACCTCTCGGTCCGTACACACTTTTCGGTTTCAGCCGTCGAAACACCATACGATGCATGTTTGCTGCCTCCTAAAACGAATACATTTGACCTTTAGTAATCTTTTGATCTTTACGAAATAATCTTGCAAAAATGATTTCACATTTCTGAACTCCCATGGAGGCCCATTTCGGGATTGTTTTATTGGAACAATCTCTTCTCTTATTAAAGTAACATTGGGTTCGCAACTATCGAAGGGGTAGGACACCACGACTCGAATGCGGAATGCGGATGCAAGCGAGTCGCAATAATGACCCAATCCCCTTTGAGCCAGCGCCAAGGACCTATGACTTGCATCCGTGCATGAATTTTTAAAGGCACGCTCCGCGATCAGGCGGGCTCGCCTGTTCCATCCAGGGGGTAGTAGGCAGGTGGACAAGTGTTGATGTCGCCCCTTTTGCGGCTTGAAAGTACGCGACAAAGGCGCAAGGAGCTCGTCCAACCCGCAACTCACACCTTCGTCCGCAAGCCCCACCCTTCGCTGTCGGTTGCCACGTGGCGCTGCTTGAAAAGCGCGGGCGCATTTGAGGCAGTGGTCCCAGCGCGATCCAATGTTATTGACACTGGAGCAAGTAGAGTTAGGTTCGTGAAACTCGTCCAATTCGCCTCTTCTCTATCCCAAGGTGGAATGTGGCTGAAATAGGGGAGGTCTCTGTACGGGGCGTAATCGGTGGTTTCGTTTGCTTTCCTTCTCTTTTACAGACCAAAACCTAGTATAGAGAAACAGAGAATGTGTTAAAAGTTAACACCCCCTCACCTAACTAGCATTATAATCTGAAACGCTATTTCACGCTTTTCCACACCTATTTTATCCCGAATCTTGTCTTTTTAAGTGTTTTTTTTTGTGGTTTTCGCTCCTTCTCTCTCTAAAAATCCACTTCATACCTCTGTTCACGGAGAATCCAAGATAAGATCGGAGGTCGAAGAAAAGGAGAAGTGCCCCGTGAAAGCGGGCTTGCCCCGAGCCGCTGCCTCATTCGCACTTTGACTCTCACCGCCAGTTCCTACCGCTTTAGCACGAGAAGAGCGTGTGCTAGCATGTCCCACACTGAGAATACATACCTAACAGAGGGAGGTCCACCCCTCGCGTGCTACAGTCCCCTCTCTAAGTTTTTCTTAGTTTTCCTTCTTCCTTTGTGCATTACTGACCACCCCACCTTGATATATGGGCTGCTTTCTCAACGTAAACTCTGCCTCTAATTTTCGAGCTCACTACCACACCTACGCGAAATGGGGGTATGCGCCTTCTCGCATCATGCACATAGACACGAATTTTGATCTTCAAAGGCACGTCCCGCGATCAAACTGGTATGATACTAGCAGCGAATGATGTCGGAAGTGTGAATAGGCAGTGAAGAAAAAGAAGAATCCGCTCAGAACGCTAAAGTTAAGAGCTTGCAGGTTTCATGCTAGGGCAGTAAGAGACTAAGCACGGAGAAGAGAGAACAGGCGAAAGAGTACTACGGGCGAGAGAGCGCAGACACCAGGCATGTTGCGGGCGAAAAATAAAGGAAGCGGTCCCAAGCGACTCTTTCAGTCTTTGGGCCAGTGAACGGGACACTTCGACTTCTCGAAACAACTTTATCATCCCTACCAAAAAATCCATGCACTTAAACTCAAGCTGGGTTGTGTCTTTGACGTACATGGGCATGGGGTGAAGAGTGTAGAAAAAGCTTGGTCCTACCTTCCCAATGAGCACAGCATCCGGTCCCATTTCAACGTCCGATTCTTGAGGGAGCTGAAAATGTAGACGACTGTTGCGATTTGTTTGATGTTAACACATTGGCGACAATGTCGCCCGATGCCGGGCGACACCCCTTGAATTTTATTCCTTTGCGCATATTCCAAATTTTGAGCGGTGCTATATTAACCCGGAATACGTTGTCAAACTTGTAATGGCCACGTTCTTTGAACATCTTTCACAGTGAAAGTTTTAGAGAAGGGTTGCTTGGAATTGCTTCTTCAGTGATAAGGTTGTTCTTTCTTGATGTAGAAAGCTGCCTTTTTGTATGCTATTAGCTAGCGCAATGATACAACATTGGCAAGAAAGAGATCCGTGTTCAACCTCATTTGTGGATTCTACAGTGGAAAATTGGAATTTTCCGAGAGCGTTCCGAAGTTTCACCTTTGCGGGACGGGGAGATTTTTGCTTGGTTTGCAGCCATTAAGCATTTGTACGAGACAAATGATGTTTCAGCAGTTTCCGCATTGTGTTCTCATTGATTTGGTATGTACACCGATCAGCATAACTTCGTGGTCCGCCATGTGGGGGGGGCGTTTTTTTCTTTAAAGGAATCTTGCGCGGAAAAATCATGATTCTATTTCAGCCATAAATCACTGGCTTGAGACTCATTATCCACGATAATAGTGAAAAGAACTGAAGTATTGCTTTCGTTTTGATTAGAAATTCGAAAACTCGAAAAGGCTGCTACGCGTTCGAATTGCCCACGGACGTCTTTCACGAATGCTGGCGACGGGGATGCTCAAACTTGGTTCTTGGAGTGCATTCACTAGAAGCTCTTTCTGGCCTTCTGCTTCGTTGCATTCACATCTTACACTTCTACTCCATCCTATTCCATCGATCGATTTGTCTCCACTCTCCGAAATCGCGCGCTTTAACCCGATTCTCTCATTGCGTCGCCTGGTACGTAGCCGGCCAAACGCCGTCTTCTTTCCATGCCTCGCCTGGCTCTGCCTCCTGGTCCTTCGATGGTCCATAACGTGTAGTTTTTGTACGTTTGTTTCTCTTCAGAAACCGAATCTTCATGCGTGAAACTTTGTGTGCTATTTCCAGTGATCACAACTGACATATTCATGTTAGGAAAGAGTGCAAGAATTTTCCGCGCAAGATTCCTTTAAGGCGTACGAAATGAAGGTTTGGAAGAGTTGATACAGGAGCATAAAAAGGGATCTGTTTAAGAAATTGCGCCATGGTTACTTACTCCTATCTTAATCGGCATGAACCGTGATTTTGTATAGTTTTATGCTCACCATAAGTTTAAACAACATGTTGTACATGAACAGTGCCTCTTTTGAGATGGGACGTTCAATGACTACGGTGAATCGGCTGTTCCTGAAAGAGTAATATATGAACAACTTCTGTGGCTGCGACTTGCATATCATATCGAGCAGAGTAGCGCTCGTAATTTGGTCCCGGGATTTGTCTTTAGCATGTGCTCTTGACCTACCGCTGTATCGCACTCTCTCTCATATCGCCTGATTCTTTTTTCATTGGCGCCAGCCAACTTTTCGAGATATTGTAGGATTCGACATGAATAGCTTTTCGACGGAGGTTTTTCTTTCAGCTATTTACGAGGACACACACATATAGGGAGTATCCCAGGAGGGGGGGAGTGGGGCCTGAGGTGCAACACTTCGTGTCGTCTACAGTAATCCCAATTTTTGTAGGCTTGGAAGCTCCGGGGTAAGTATAAAGCGGAAGCGAAATGGTTCACACAGACGGCACCAACTATTGCAACACATATCAGCTCCCTATTTGGAGTAGACCCACTCATATTCAAATCACCAATTCCTAAAGCACGATTCACGGGACTTTAGGTATCGAACAATATTTAGAACGTACTTGTTAAATTTCTGCGTATATCCTCGAACGAATTCAATATCATTGAAAGGAATTGGTGTACCGTCCAAATCCAGTAGCGCATCTCCGATGCAGAAATAAATAGAAGCGATGCCTTTCGGATCCAACTGTAAGAATGATATCTTTGCTATAGCTATGAAACAAAGGAACGAAAGCAGTTCATTTTCAAGTTTCAGCAAATAAAACTATTTTCTAGTTGTGATTGAGTTCCGTTACTGTTGTACCGTAAATCGCGCGTTGAGAGGGGTGGAATAGAAGGCACACTCGCAGCATGCATGCCGCAAAAAAAGTAAATCATAACCGTTCAAGCTAGATCATTTTTTCGCTCTTGCCCGCGCTCTCTTACCCAAATAACGAGCTTTGACCACCACACAGAGACGATGTCTTTGCAGTATGGTTGCTTTCTGGAGCCCCATTCACGCTTGTCATCTCCATGTGCTCCAGTTACGTGTACCTGTCGGTGAATCAAGAGGGTGGCCAACCTGCTCCAGAGCTGAGTACCGAGCGGCATGGGGAGCAAATAGAAACATTAACGGAGTGGTGAAGAAGGGGAAGACATGCGGACCTACTTCCATAACTCCAATTATGCGGTACTTCCTGACTTGTATGCACGCTTCAGAGATCTGAACAATTCTGCACAGGCAGGACGAGCATACGTCAACGTCATCCAGCACGATTGAAGAGAATGGTGCTAGGATCCTCGATACACGCACGTGCAGAAGGGAATCCATGGTTCCGAGCTCCGTCAACGGCCGAAGATCACTGAAGCTGTAAGCCGGACCGGACACGCCATACGTTTGTGACAACCCAGCAGAAAGTTCAATTGCCGGAAGGGTCGCTGCTTGTTTTTTCTGCCAGGCACCCAAGGAGCTCTCACGTTCGATCGAATTCGAAAAAAAATTCACGACCGCCCCTATTAGGGAGAGTTTCTTGACACCACCGCTCCTTCCCCCTCTCCCTCCCAATCACCACATCAACCCACATGGTGAAAGGTGTGACCCACAAAACCACCTCATCTCCCCCCTCCACCCAACAATACTACTATAGCTGCTCATGTAGTATTCGATTGTGACAATTGACACACTCGTTCCGCGCCAAATCTTTGCTGTTGCCGTGCGGAGACGGGGAGGAGATAACCATGAGATTGAAGATGTCAAAAACGACCATTCTCTCCCACTCCCACAACCACAACTCTCGTCTTTCACAATACCACTACTTTCGAACTTTCCAAAGAAATCCAACCAAAGAAACTAACTTCCTTTAAAGGCAAATTCCGGGCTTTCTGGCGAAATTCAGTTTTTCCCCGTCAAATATGGAGCAGTACGCAAGGGCAGGCCATGTGCAGAAGTGGCAGGGCGTTTTGATAAGGATCAGGCGCCAGGGGCATAGGGTGGAGCATTGGCG